ACATTCATTTCATATCATTTACACTTTTCCTTTTTAATCCTTTTAACTTTTCTATCAATCCTTAGTTTCCGTCAAACATACAAATCCTTTAACCTTAATACATTCACTATCACACTACTTTATTATTCAACTTATTTCTTTCAATCCAAACATAAACCTTCATCAAACTATCCATATATATATATATATATATATTATTTTCAGTCGAAATAATTCATTCATTATTTCCATCACTTATCAAACATTCATTCTCATTCGTCCATAATACAATTCCTTTGGTTCGAATTCAACCATTCCATTTACCTTTGTCTTATAACTGATCACTGTTATACATATTCTTAAACCATTCCTTGGTCTTTTAATGTTCTTCAATTAACATCAATCTCTTCCATTTTATCTTGTCCATGTTATAAAGAAATTATTCTATTTCAGAACGATTAAAATTCCTTTAATATTATATTTCCAATCCATCTGAATTGATTGGCTTTAATCTCTGGCGGAGAATACAACTAATTCATATCTGGTTTAAAGTTGAAAACCAGAATCTCTACCTTTCTTTGATGGTGCTTAACTTTATGAAGCAATAATTCTCTTAATCATCTGTGATTTTTGTTCTTCAATCCTTTCATTTTGAGCTATTGCTAAAGATTTAACGCTATTAACCATTTCTTGAAACGAGTACAAATTCAAAACCAGTAACACTCTTTTAATTTAAAACACAAGCCCTAAACAACCAACCACATATATCATTCTTAATCGGAATTAACTCAGTAACAATTCTGCTTAACTTATTAAACTTACTTTCATACACATGCATGTGTAATTCCCTTGCTTCAATCTCATATATTCGAGCTTTATTCGTCTTATGAATTGGTCATCCATATACTTATTCTTCAACTCTTCTACAATCAATAACCACATCACTTGATCTTTTAACATTCTTATGGTGACATTCATCCACCATACTCTAGCTTGCCCACATAGTAACGAAACTACTCAATTTAACTTCTTTAATTTGGAGAAATAAAAACCTTCTAACATTATCTTCCTATCATTTAATCAAATGTCTATAACAATGGAACATTTCTCAAATTCACCCTTGAACTCGAGTGTTCTCAACTCTTTTTGATACATTAATTCTATGAATTATAGAAGTATAAAAATGGAAACACATCAAATTATCATTCAACATCATGAAGATATTCCCTAATTTTGTACAGGCACTCCCTGAGGTTTCGCTCTTCTCCCTGACTGGCCAGGGCAGGTGAATGCTATTACCTTCAGGTCTATCACCTTGTACTTCACTTTGAAAACTCTTATGAACATACATCTAATATAACATAACACTTTTACTTTATTATCAAGACAGTATACTCCTTACAGAAAAATTTTCACTTTGTGTTGGCATGTATACTTTTTAAAACACTTTTGACTTCGTTTTTAGCCTAGAATCGGCTAAACCGTAGCTCTAATACCATTAAATGTAACACCCTCAACCCGTATCTGACCCGAATACGAATCTGAGGTGTCACATTGACTTTTCAAAACTTGTCTCTAAAAAACATGAAATTTTTAACTTTCGTTAAATAAAATTCATTATTTTACATAAAAGAAACCGTTTGGTTTTACAAATACTATCAGAGCATATTTAACTCTATCAATTAGTACATGCCAACTATATTCAACATAATAAAATACAAAATCACATCTATTTATTTTCTGATCTGAACTTTGTAAAGAAGAGCTGACATGTCTTGCTCCTCTTAACGTCTCTTCTAACTTTCCAAAACCTACGTATGAAACACTCACACACTAAGTCGATGACTTAGTGAGGCATATAAAATATATAACGTAACCATGACTCCTAACAATGAATGTAGGTTTTCTACTATCATATCAAACAACCTCATATACACTTCCACATAATGAATATATACATACATATACATTATCATATCATCTATGCTTATATATTGTTTCATGTCCATAAAGTCCTGTGTATTTATCCCACTCAGCTTATCACATTTTCCTATTATTATTTAATCATTTCTTCTATATAATTCTTAATCATAAATTCCTATCCCAAAATCACATATCTTATCCCTTATTCCATAAGTTCTATCTATCATATACCCGTAAGTTTTGGTGACATGTTCTATATCATATTCTTGTATAACAACTCCTTATATTCTATTAATTCATTTTTCGTATAAGTTATCACATAAACATATATATTTTAGTAACTTATCGTAAATTAACTCCTATAATATTTTCATTAAAATATATAGTCTTCCTATACGACTTATCTCATATATTCTTATTCTTATTCTTATATATATATTCTATTTAATATATTATTTACTTTATCTCTATTCTAATATAACTTTCATTATACTATTTCACTCACAAAGTATATTTCACACCACAATCTTAATTATTCTATTCATATACTCCTATAATTCACTCCCCCATTACATATACTTATACTTATGGAGTTCACAACATTTCTCAAGTAATTACTCATAACTTATCATATAAGCTCATTTTATTTCCTTATAATCCAACATATCAAACAATCATAAATTATAGCATTAAACCATGTAACATATGCAATACATTCAACCAATACACTCACTTCCAATTACATAATTATATAACAATCATATTACTTATTATTTATATTATATCTTTACTGGCCCATGTACACTTTGGAGAACTAAAGCTATGTGAGTATTGAGATTGTGCATTATGATGTCACCACAACTCGTATAAATGCACCGAAGTGTCACATAGAATTGCACCGAAGTGCCGCGTAGAATTGCACCGTTGTTCTATTTAAGATGTCCCTAAGGACCATATAGAAAAATTCCTTAAGAATCATATACATATGCCAAGGACCAGATATGTGTCTCAAAAGACCTCATACATGTTCCAAATAATACATATATATCCCGAAGGACTGCGTCGACCCTCGACTCTTGGCATGCCAACTATACCTATAGCTCTCGTACCATATAACATGGGCATTTTCACTTATATCATTTCACATACACACTTTCATATCACATGTCATATAAGCTCATTGCTTCTTTCACATATACATGTAGTCACATAGCTTCTTTTCATATTCTCATAGGATCACATAGCTCATATCTTATACTTTGTTTTCTTATGTTCACATATATCATGTCATATGGCTCATATATTTCTCATGCAGTCACATAGTTCAGTTTCACATATGTTAATATATATACATCACATAGCACATACTTCTTATATCATTACATACAAAAGCATGTTAACACACATAATCATGCATACATATAATTCATGTCATCCATATATATGTAATCTTATATTCATGCATTCTAACATAGGAAATAGACTTGTCGCAAGTCTTGTTTCCATTTAGCACCATAAACTAACTAATATGCACTCACCTTGGCCTCACTAAGTTCAAATCCACATTTATGATTTCCTCTCTTTCGATCGAATCTTAACTTGATAATCGTTCCAGAACTTTTTCATGCTCGATATCTATATAAATATACATTTTAAGGTAATTATCAGATATCTACACCTTGTAATTTGATGCTAATAACTTGAATGAATTTAACATACCAATATTTACTTTTTCCTTTAGGGGTGTACCGATGCACTATGTATGCATCGGTACACAAATTAGGTTCGAAATACCCATGCATCGATGCACCCCTTAATGTATCGATGCACCTTCAAAATTGGTCTTAGTGCATCGGTGCATATTTATAGTGTACCGATGCACCTGCCCAGAATATGCTATTTCACCCGAAATTCCTCAATACTTTACCCAAATTTTCATGTATAAACCCTTTATTAAGCTATCAAACTCATTTATAACCATTATAACTAATTTCTAGCATTCCAACATCTTATAGTCTCTCATATTTCATCCAGATTCTTAAAGCTAAGAATCATACCAAAATATCAACATGATCTAAATTCAATTCTAATGCTTTAGACTTCTTAATTCTTCTTATGTCAAGTCAAAAATCTCATCAAAACCCTAAAAACAAACCATAACAAAATTCATCTTTAAAACTCTTTTTACAAATCCCATCATAACTCACTCATCTTATTGTTTTAAGTTTATATAAGCTTTCCTTAAGCTTATATAACACCCAATTATTCCAACTCAACCTATAAATTCAAGGAATTAACAAGATGAAATCAACATACCTTTGCTTTGGCTCTCACGGTAAAGAGAAAAAAAAGAATGGAGAGTTCTCTGGAAACTTTCTCCCATTTCCCACGTTTATAGCCTACAAAATGGAGAGTTCTCTGGAAACTTTCTACCATTTCCCACGTTTATATAGCCTACAAAAGGAAAGATAAAATTCTTTCTTGTCAAATGACCATTTTGCCCTTCTTTCTTTCATTCTTTACTAAATCATCCATCACAAAATGTTTCCAATAAAGTCCCTGAACTTTTAACTTATTTCAAAATTGAGCATAAATTTTCAAAATTTACATTTACGTCACTGACCCATCTTTTGGGATGTTACAATACCCTTATTACTTTCAAACTTTGCTATTAAGTCCAACATTAAAATTCTCTAATTAAGTCCCTAAACTTTTTAATCTTTCAAAATTAGACCTCAAAGTTTCGAAACTTACATTTTAGTCACTAGCCCTGAATTTGGGATGTTACATTAAGTGACTTCTGTGATAAATAAATTCTTATTATCCCTTGAGGACCCAAGTTCGAGCACCATAGATGTTAGGGGTGTGAGCGTTCAATGTCGAGAGGTTGAGAGTTATCTATGAACAAATATTACCTTGTACTTACCCGGACTATGTTTAAAAATTTATAAAATTTTTCAAATTCAAAAATAATTACACCATTTAACCATAAGTGATTAGAATTTAGATGGCGAATGACTATGTTTGATTATATATGAATATGATATATAAGTTGTGTACAGGCAATACAATCATCTGAGCACCAACAGGAGAAGAAGATCATTTAATCGCAGATAAATGGAGTATCAACAAGATAGTCGCTGCAGTAAAGGCCAGGGCTCTGAGTGTAACCCTTTTTTTTAAGCATTTGCCTGGCCTTCAAAACAAGTTCTCGATTAGTAACTGAGCCATCCGACTCTGCAAGTATTGTTTGAATGGCATCGCTTAATGCACCATATGCTAGATTCGGATTTCCCGGCGGGCAAGCATCCGCCGATGTTTGGTGTGTCTGGCAACCACTGATAAGAATTCCGTTGTCTGGAAGAGGGTACACAGTTGCTTCTCTATGTTCGGTCTCGAGCGCCCATTTTCCGTACCCTTCGTCTTCAACAAGCTTCTGTTTAAGAAACTGTAGCACCAGACTCCCAAGAGTCCCCATGAACCCTTCGTCTTCATCCTGTAGTTTGGTTATAACGACCTTCATGAACTTCTTCACTTTGGGGCTTGCGTCTTCTCCGAATGCATCGAAAAGGGTCGGCCTTACTTTCCCGATATCGATGTCGTCTTTGCCGGTTTTCTGCTTGAGCATTTCGATTAGAGTTGAGAGGGGGAGATGTCGGCTTTTCACGTAGATACTCTCGTCATGTATTCCACGACCCTCAACTGTTTGGTTGAAGAAGATATTGAACCCAGAACCTGACTCTGAATCGGAATCATGGTGCTTTGTGCTCTCACCGATTTGCTCTTTCGCCTCTTCGATCAATCCCCCACTGTGGCATGAATCCGATACGATTGTTATGCGACAACCTTCTGGGACTTCATCCACCAACTCTCTGAAATCATCATCTGTGCACAACCACCCAACAACACCATTAACGAACCATGCAAAAAAATGTTGAAGATTATGAAATATATCCATACATTTCATATAACATTTGTTTATTTTGAAAAAAAAAATATGTTCATTTAATTAACGAACGAACGCAAACATACATGTGTTAAGTTTGTTTATGTTCATGAACAAACTCATTTAAAAGTTCGTTTATTGGCTTATTTATCGACTTGTTTACTATATTCTGCTTAAATATTAGTGAAAGTAGGGATTAAATTGAACTTGTGGTGAGCTTTAAAGTTCAAACCGTATAATCTAAGGAGTTTAAGGACTAAATATGTCTGCCAACGTTCAACGAGCCGAACACGAACAAATTTACAAATAAACGAACGAATATGAGCATAATACAAACATAAACACCTTAAAAAATATAGAATAAGACACAATCTTATTCGTTAAAGTTAATTCATTTACACTCGTATTCATAAATTCAGCCAAAAACGGGGTGGGGGGAGTATTGATCACATTGAAACTTCAAATCGAGTCTAGCAAGGAGATCCTAAACTAGAACAAAACTAAATCTGATCACGAGAGACACAAATCTATATAATATAGCATATAAAGTAGAGAATCAAAAGAAAAAAAAAGTGAAAGAAAGAAAAACCAGTGATGAGATTCATATCCATGGGCACAATGCATTCATCGTAGCCGGTTTCATCATCATCCTCAGCAGGAAGCCTGGTGCCATGCCCACTGTAGTGCACAAACAGAAAATCCCCAGACTCAGCCGAACACACGAGATCATTCAAAGCACGTCTGATGTTCTTCCCCGTGGGCTGATCGTAAGAATCATCGGTGTCTATCAACACCTTTATGTCCTGATCGGAGAATCCGTAGCGTTGGATGAGGCAATTGTGCATTCTCTTCACGTCGTTTATGCAGCCTTTTAGCTCCCCGTTTGTGCCTGGATAGTTGATTCCTATCAACACTGCTTTTTTCGCCATTGAAACGAAACTAATTTCTTTGCAGAATTATTTCTATAATTATGGAAAAGCTTGTGTTTTGTGTGTGGAGGGAGATGATTGACTATTGATCGGAAAAATTAGTTATCTTACTATTTTTATCATTTATAAATTATTAATTTATTAATTATTTTAAAGTCTTGTTTATTAATTTTAAAAAATATACTCTGAACCCATTAAATGATCTCAATAATAAAAGAAAAATATTATTCTCTTTCGTAATTATGAGTTCGATCAACTATGATTTTAAAATTTGTGTGTATTATCAATTAATTAATTTTTTTAAAATAAATATATCTTTTAATATCTTAAATGATGGAAACAAATAGTAACCGCCCCTCGAAAGCCCCGACTATGTGCTTGACAAACTATTTAAATCCATGACAAGATCTCGAGTGATAATTGACAAATCATTTCTTTTTATTGAAGCAAAAAAATTATAACCTATGGTAATACAATGATTGATGTGTTTAGATGTTTCATTTCTATTAAATGATAGAAAAAGATAGAGTGAAAAAAATTGGTTCTAGATCGTTATAGAAAAGTTTTATAATAATTTTTAGTGTTAGTGTCAGATGTATAATTATTATAATTATTTATAGTTAGACAAATTTAGTAAATATGATTGATTGATACTAATTTTCAAATATGATAAATTATGTGAATTTATTTAAGGTCATTTAATCACGATCTTTTGAAAGGTGTAAGACTTGATACCTCATGTCTAAAGAAATTATCCTAAAACTTTAATTTTGGTGAGGTTATTCGGATAATATTAGTATAAAATTATATACATTTCATAGTTTTTTCTCCTCATATTGATTTTTCATAAAACTCACTCAAAAATCAATAACAAATCATTTAAAGGTTTAACATGCTAATCTTCAATCTTCTTTAGTGATTATTTAAAAATTTGATGTGCTCCACATCAATTATATTTTTAAACAAACACTCCAAATCTTTTGAATCCAAGAAAATCCAAAAACTCTTTAAAATAATGAAATTTTTGTTTAATTTATGAGTTCTAAAGAGATATGTGAAAATTTAAACTGATAAAATGATGGAAGACGATAAGACACGTTCATCGATATTTAGAATGACCATAAAGATGATATAGAGTGATAATTTTCAATTATGATTAAAAATGAATGAAAAAACTTTAATTTTGATGAATAATATAATAAATTAGAATAAAAAATAATTTTTATTTTCTACATCAATAGTAAACTGTCATATCATTATTGTTAATGAAGTAACAATCCAATAATATATTTAAAATTAAAATTCACTAATATGATTTATTAATTTAATTTTTATTTAGTTTTTGATAAATAATTTCTAAAGTACATTGGCGTGTTACCTGACCCACCGAGCGGCATCACTCTTGGTTCCGTGGACCGTGGTGGCTTCGAAAATAATAAAGGAGGATAAATGATGAAAAGAATATGGAATTCGAAGAAAATATAGTTACTTCAGACATCTAATTCAGCGGTGAGTGCGAAATTATAATTTTGGGAATTAGGGTTAGTAGCAGTGGCCGAAATGGCCAACCGATTTTACGGTTACTCTTCCCCATCCCTATCCACTTACGCCTCCACTCTCCAACGTTATCTCGACGCCGACACCACGACACAGTCTCAGTCTCATTTGCTTCACCAGCTACACCAATCCGCCGCCGACGCTCATCAAACGCCCCTCTCAAGGTAACCGAACTACCTTCAGATTATATATATCAACTGCTTTTTATTTCGAGGATTGCATATACAAATCCGATTATCAGTTTTATTTCATTCTTATTTATTGTGTTCTGAACGTTTTTCTTGTTAGGAAACTACCGTCTTAGATGCCCATTATTGGTTAATGGTTATAAACATAGATGCTAAAGGTTAGCTTTAGCATTATCCTTTACTTGCCTTTCAAAATTTTAGTTTAACATTGTTCTGTATACTAAATAATGTCTACGTCTTTGTCTTTGTGTGGTTTCTCATCGATAGGTGCACTGATGATATTGTTATAACGATTCTACTTTTAGCTGTAACATGGTGTGAGATTTATTGCAATCTGGGAAGGAACCTACAGGCTATTGGCCTTAATCAGCTTGTTCAAAATTTGATACCATTTTGTATATGTATATTTTTTAGTACTAGTATTGTAAGTCATCTTGATCCTTGTTTAACTGTTAAGTGTTAATGACTTTGTGCATCTCCCAAGGATGGTAATTAACTTTGTATCTAGCTAACTATATTTCTGGAATTCAGTAATATCTTTTAATGAAAAGTTGTAAAGTATTTGTAATTTTTTTAACATGTTATTTGGTATATAATTCCCAAACCATTATCTTCTTTATATAAAAGCGCTTTTTATGTCCAACTTATATTATTAACGTATATATTTCCTGCTTTTGTTGCATATAACTACTATGCACTATAGTTCTCTACCATCAGAATGTTTTGGATGCCCAAAGCACACTTGGGCAGCTTGAAGCTTGGTATTCTGCTAGCTCTTTAGTCAAGCGACCTAGATTGGAGAGTGCAAACAATTTACCTATATATCCTCAGAGGCCAGGAGAAAAAGATTGTGCTCGTTATATGCTCACAAGAACCTGTAAGTTTGGAGATAGCTGTAAATTTGATCATCCTATTTGGGTTCCCGAGGGTGGAATCCCATATTGGAAAGAGGTGAGCGTTTATTGCTATCTTTCTTGCACCGATGATGGTGAATCTTAAGACTATGCGCCTATAGAAATTACTTTTCTTTGGGTAAAATATAAACATTACAATTTGAATGAAATTTATTTTCAACTTTTATACATATCTTTTATTTTAATAAGTACTTTATCTACGTACTATTTATTGCTTATAAAGTATATGATTGCTGCTTTTATGCCTGGATAAGCATATTTGTGAGGCTTGTCGGGTTATTTTATAGTTTTACCAGTATTTAAAAGATTTTTTACAACTATAGCATTATGCTTTCATGTTTTATGAAATTCAATTACTATTCTGAATAATATCTAGTGACCAGGTAATAGAAAAATGGTCAATTTTTCTAGAATGGTTCCAAAAATTCATCCTCATTTCGAATTTTTTGTTCCTGTTATTATCGTAATTGAATAATTATTCAATATTATTTATGTATCGCATCTAATTTATCAGATTTCTACTCTTATCATGGGAAAGGTTCATTCAGTGAGGTTAATTCCAAGGGCGTGCAATGGAGAGGCAGACAGTTTAGCAAAACTGTATAGGTTCAACTGTGGTTTTTTTGGTCCAGTGAGAAGATTTTTATGGCAGTTGGAGTGTTTAAGTTTTATGTACTGAATTTTAGTGTAATTGTTAAATCTTATGCAGTGTTTTAAAAAGCGCGTCTGAGGCGCTAGGCGAGGCGAGGCGTTTAGAAGAAAGCCTCCTACCACCAAGGCGGCGGCGAGTACATGAGGCGGCGATTCAGTCGTCGGAGGCGGCGAGAGGCGACGAGGCGATGCTTTTAGCGATTCACGTACAATGACCCATTTCAGATTGGGCTTTTTGTCTTCATGCGAGTGAGCTCCAGAGATAGAGAACGAGATCCGGTCAAAGGAAGAGAAGGGGAAGGGAGAAGCTGGGAGTGCCTTCTGGGTCGACTCAATGAGCAGTGGATGAAAGACACAAGCGAGTTGGAGGCGACTGCCATTGGTGGAGAGATGAAGAGAAGAAGCAGGTAGCAGCGGAGATTTCGAGTTTGAAGCAAGTGGAAACTGAAGAATGCTTTGGTTAGACCATAGTGTTTATGCTTATAGTAGCGTGTGGATTCAATGGTGGGCGCCAAACTAAAACAATAAAATAATAATTTTTTGCATTATGATCATCGCCATTCCCCAACTGTGTTATAGACATTTTCGATCCATGTTTTCATCGTAATCATCGCTATCAATATAACTGCATTATTTTATCCAATTTTTACACTTTGTTAATTCAATTTCTTTGAAACATATATTTTCCTATCTTTTTTATAATAATTAATATTTTAAATTCAATCTTTTAACGATACAATAATATTAAAAATTCTAAAAATAGTAACGAATTAAATTGGATCAACTTTTTTATCAATACGATTTTATTCGGAAATATACATCCTCCACTTGAAGGTAACATTTTTTTATACATGAAGCTGATATTTAAATGTAAATGTTAATATAGTATTAGTTTATTTTAAATTGAAATTTGTGTGCTAAGAAAATTGAGGTCTCAGATGATATTAGGGTTTAGTATTGTCTATTAAAAGTATTATTGAGATTAAAAGTATTCTTGAAATTTGGTGTTTTTGCCTATTAATTTAATTATTAAGTTGTTTTGTGTTTGAGGTATGGTTATAAAATATTTATAAATGTTTTGTAAAATTAAGCGTCTCGCGTACGTGAATCCCTCGCCTCAAAGCGCCTCAAAAATTGAGGCAGGTAGCTAATCGCCTTGGAGCGCCTCGCGCCTTTTAAAACATTGATCTTATGTAATTTTTCAGTGTCAATAAAAGTTCTAAGGCACTCTTTTCCTCCTTCCGCTGAGATTAAGGAGCTTAATCTAAAGCTCCATTAATCAAGAAAGGAATTTATAATGAGGCCTTCCATTCTTATAAAAAAAAAATATCATACTAATCTGATTTCTTGTTATTTCTTTGGAACTCCTAAGTCCTTTAACATTTTTCAGGCCTAGATGTATGTTTTTATTAGATGATGGTCTGGTTTTGTAAGATGCAAATTCATGCTTTTGTGTGTGTGTGTGTATCTTCATAACAGTGTTTAGACATTTTATCTAATATAATATTTTTAATAGAAAAGAAATTTGGAGTTCCATTATTTACTTATAGTTTACAAAATTTAAAGTATATCCAAAATTTCCATCCATCCATTGTAAGAACTTCTATTCCTAATGGAATTTACCCCTTTCTGGAGTCAAAAAAGAGACACACCTGTGCAAGAGTATTTTTTTTTATCTCACAAACTTTTCAAGAACAAGGGTGGAGGAAAGCAAGCTACTTTTGGTGGCTCTTCTTGGGCATGCATATAGGATTTGGTGTTTTGGGGTAACTGCTAATAAGAGCAACCTAGAATGATG